GGATGCATGCTTTTATTATCGAGACGACATTTGAAAAAAAGAAAAAGCATGCAAACAATATGCACTGCGACCCTAGCGCTCACGAGCTCAAAAAGAAGGACCTGTTGTGGGCATTTACCACAAGAGCGATTACAGTATGACTTCATTACAACAGACCGCCATAGCGAAGAGGATTTTGATCCATTGTAAAAGAAGTAGAGTAAAAGCTTGTTAATTAGAACCGCAAGGAGAAGCCGCCTCAGTTCGAATTAACGAAAGTGAAGAACAACAATAGTACACTGGGAATAGGACATAATTTATTTTTTGAAAAAAGTGATCGCGGTCTGCCTTCTTTTCTTGAAGGCGACAGCCAGCACTTTTTGCTCTAACGAGCGAATTTGGCGGAAGGCCGCTTCTCCGCCTTCTTCAAAACTTAAGGAAAGACGGGCGGCATTCAATCCGGCGACGACTTCCGCAGCAGAGGGCCGCACTGGTGCTTCGTTCTCCTCATAATCGTCACTGGCAGCGACAGGTTCTGCACTTCTCACCTGACATATTATGTCGCCATCCGTGAGTGCACCACACACCACTTCACTTGCGTCCACATTGACGTAGTCCGCAAAGCAGACGTCTTCCCAAACGTCCGCCATGGGGGCGGTGACGCCGTGTGCGGGCCCTGGTGGCTCGTCAGCTTGCAGAGCTTCGGTGCTGAAGCCACAGTGGCGAAAGCAATTTGCTGTCATAAGTGCTGTCACTTGCTCCCAAGCACGCACAAGCACGTATAGTGCACTTAGGAGTGTCACTTGGTAGTTATTGCACAAAATAATTCGTTCCAACATATGATGCCGATAAAATAATTTTAAATGTCTAATTATACCCTGGTCCATGGGCTGCAGTACCGCTGTCGTGTTTGCTGGAAGGATGGCCAGCTCAATGGCCTTCGCCTCAAGGTCGACTTTATGAGCCGAACAGTTGTCCACAAGAAGCAGGACTTTGCGGCCACAGCGTTTGAAATTCTTGTCAAGCTTCCCCAGCCACTGCGCGAACAATTCCCCCGTCATCCAGGCCTTTTTGTTGGCTGCGTAGTCCGATGGGAGCGACCGGATGTTCTTGAAGCAATGAGGACTTCTCGATTTGCCTATCACAGACAGAGGCAACTTCTTGGTCCCGGTCATGTTCGCAGCAACCATCACAGTTATCCGTTCTTTACTTTTTTTCCCTCCCGTGCACTTGTCCCCTTTACACGTGATAGTTTTGGCGGACAGCAATTCGAAAAATAATGCAGTTTCATTCACATTAAATATGTCTTGCGGAGAATACTTCATATAGCCTTGAAGTACTTCGGAGCGCCAACCTTCACACATTTCCATGTTGACGGCGTTCATTTCACTCGACATAGCACAGGAAACGAGGTCGTAGAGCTCGCGAAAACGGTGCAACCACCCATCTGAAGCAGCGAAGTCGTCGTAGCCTAGCTGCAGGGCGAAGTCCGCTGCCTTTGCCAGTATGACTGGGCCACTCAGTCGTATGTCCTGCGAACGCATTTCCTTTATCTAAATGAGAAGCGCTTTCTCGAGGTCAGGATACTTTGCGGGCCGCAACCTCCTTCTTTTGCTCGCAACTTCTGCCTCTAAGGCATCTTCAATAGTCCTCCTATTTTTTATATAAGTAGATAGCGTCGTTTTTGGTACCCATGCTTTTTCAAGATATCTTGCTTAGGCAAGAGTCCGGTGTCCACTTCCCGCAGGATATCAGCTTTCTCCTGTAGTGTTTTGGCACGGTATTTGCCGCGGGCACACCCTATCAAGTCGGAGCAGCAGAATCGCGACAGACAGGAAGCTACTACCGGCGCTATTGCAACAAACGTTAGCCGCCGAGACAGACTACAGGGAAGGCTGGGTGAAGCTATGACGCACCCGATTTGCTGTGTGCTGGTCGTGCCATCTGTTGTCTAACTGCGACAACTATGCAGAATTTTCAAAGGCTCCGAGATTGGCACTAAAAAAAAAAAAAAAGAAGAAATCTTGGAGGTTACATAGGGCGGAGAGCAGGCAGCCGTTGAGAGAGAGAGAGAGATTGTGGGGGGAGGGGGGCGAAGAGTAAGTAGCGCTATTTTCTGCACTCTGGCCTCTGCGCCAGTTTCTCAGTTTTTCTCTCTGCTCCCTGTCAACGTCGCCTCATAACTCGGCAGCCGCTCAATCGAGTGATTAGCCAAGCCGCCGGCGCGGTGGCGCGTAGTTCGAATTATCCGCGGCGGAAACTACTCGCATTCGAATTAACGGGCTTTTTTATTCATAGGCTTGTATGGAGCTTGTCGAGATCATAACTTACAGTTAGAATTATCCATTAATTCGAATTATTGAAGTTCAAATTAACGAGCTTTCACTCCCATGCAGCCGCCGAGAGAGAGAAAGATTGTGGGGGGAGGGGGGCGAAGAGTAAGTGGCGCTATTTTCTGCACTTTGGCCTCTGCGCCAGTTTCTCAGTTTTTCTCTCTGCTCCCTGTCAACGCCGCCTCGTAACTCGGCAGCCGCTCAATCGAGTGATTAGCCAAGCCGCCGGCGCGGTGGCGCGTAGTTCGAATTATCCGCGGCGGAAACTACACGCGTTCGAATTAACGGGCTTTTTTATTCATAGGCTTGTATGGAGCTTGTCGAGATCATAACTTACAGTTCGAATTATCCATTAATTCGAATTATTGAAGTTCGAATTAACGAGCTTTCACTGTAGTAAGATTCATGTGACGTTAAAACAGACTTTTATGGAACCACTGAATAGGTCTGCTATAACCGGAGAAAAGCGCGTCATATACGAAATTATTCTCAATGATGCATAAAAAAACTTGATTTTTCGGAAATCGTTCTTCAGTGTTTGTAGCCCTTTTTCTATCTGATTCCAGAATAACCTCTTTGAAAATTTGTAGTCGTGCTGTAGAAAGCTTTTCGTGCCTGCCAAGGCGGTGAAATTCATCGTGGAAGTAAAAAAAAAAAGCAGCATTTTTAAAAAATTTATAGCTTCACGACAGCACACCTGCCCACAACCATTTTGGTCTTGTCGTAAAAGCATTTTGTAAAAAGCATTCTGTGTTCAAAAAGCAGATGTTTGAAATTTATTTGGAGGAATCTGATTGGCTGTTTCTGCTGTGTTGTTCCAGTACGCTTCGCAAGTACTATGCTCGTTCCGGATACGCCTCCGAGATAGCGTAGTGTGCTTATTGCGTGCCGCCGCGAGATTGCCGCTCTCCAAGATCACACTCCTTAGTGTCCAGAATCACACTTCTTTTGCACTCGTTCTGTGTTCACGGGTTGTTAAGGCAGCTGTAAGCAGAAGTTCAGTCTTCAGATTACGATCGTGTGCCGTACTTGTTCGAACATTGCACACGTGTGTCTCAAATCGATTGTCACAGCGTTGACTCGTGAGCAGGAAGGTTCCGCTTATCAGCCTTCGGACTTAGCGACGAAGACCACCCCAGGACAATTATATTGTACTCGCAATTGAGCATGTCTAACTTTGAAACATCGGACACCGTGGCCATGCACACCGCAGCCGCGCTATTTGCTCGAAGTTGTGGCTAGGCGAAACATATCCGCCCCGAACTTTGCGAGCCAGAGCGTCTTGCTAGCGGATATGCGAAAATGAAGCCATAATGTGCTTCTTCGCAAGCAACAAATCACATAAGCCACTGGCTCCTTGGAACTGCGAATCTTTCACATCGGTAGTAGACAACAGCCATTCTCGCCAAGCACCGACTGCTCCGAACAGCGGTGGCAGCAGTCAGCGATTTCCCGTGTCGGCGCCCCAACATCCCAAAATCAAGCACGCAACGCTCAAATTTTTCGTCGCCGTAGCTAGGCATAACTAATCATGAACAGACCGGAGATATGCGGCCTTCGCTCTTAGGTCGGCAAGTCGATATCTGCAGCGCTATTCTTATCCTGAGAGTACGCCGCAGCGCTATTCTTATCCTGAGAGTACGCCAAGTTATGTTTTAAGTTATTGCATATGGGATGTCCTTGGTAAAAAAGTCAACTGCAAAAGAGTCCTGACCACCTTGCTGGCCTCACATTATAATCTATTACATTCAAATGTATGTTGTACCATAATCCATAATAAACGAAGTTCTATCAATGAGAAAAATAGGGAGGTAAGCCTAAAGCCACAAGTTAGTATGTAGAATCCGAATGTCTTGTAAGCGGATCCATTCTAACAAGATTATACTGTACCAACGCGAATGTGCTGGTAGAAGAAATTACAAAAAAGCTGTTCTAGATGAAGATTCGTTGATGACGTATATTAAAGAAAATGTTAAGGCTTACCCACCGTTCACGTGCTCTTCTGCCGACGCAATGCATGCCATATTCTAACATGATGCCCGAAAATAGACGTAACAGACATTCTAGGCAGTTATTACGAAGAAGTGCTGTAATTACACGCAGTGCGACTATTGAAACGAGTGACGCCTGCTAATACATTGCCACCCCACTTACATGCTAAACCGATTGCCCTAGACGTCCCGAGCTGTTGCAAGAGCCGTTGAACCGAATTGCACAAAAAAAAGCCGTGTCAGCACTTGGAATTACCAAGGACTCATGCGCGACCCCTAATCCTTGAGCGCAATAATTCTAGGTACGTGGCTGCGACTTTGGTCGCCACAACAAGCTGCACACGTTTTCACGTGCCGGCGTGGCTAGCGCCGGTAATAAACGTCCCCAAACCTGCTACTTTGCCGCAATTTCCGTTGATATTATCAGGAAGGCACAGTAAAATGCATTTGGAGCACTTTGGCACAGGAGTGGAATCACTGAACTTATGTTTACACGAATAGAACTGTTGATGGTTCAGTGATAGGTCCTGTCCGTTTCTTTCTGTGTCCACGTGTTTTCCCACTTACAATGGTGACATTACGATAGTCTGATTGGCATGTCATGGTGTTGAAATTCCCATGCAGCAAGCGTTGATGGCACTGTGCAACACAGAGCCATTGCGTTACCACACATAAGCAGTATTCAAAGTTCACTTACATCTTTGCGAATTTCACGAACAAGCGTGTAGAAGGCATCGTCAACTCCCATTCTGGTCTTGGCACTTGTTTCGATGAATGGAATAGCATAGTTGCGTGCAACCTCCCCTGCTTGCTTCATGTCAACTGCACGTGTCGGCAGGTCGCACTTGTTGCCCACCACTGCATGCAAACACATAGAAGGAAATGAAAAAAAAAAAAAAAAAAGAAACAGAGACACTCATTTAAGAACGTAGCTAACTACGAGGATGGATAGTCAGAGCAAAGTTCACTAATGATTAAAAATGTGAAAACGGTATTAGGTTCATAGCTAACATTTTTCAGGTGCTCAAAAGACTTAGCTCTTAAGAAGGTTCAGGACGCCAAAAAATAATGCAAAAGCTTTTACTCAAACAGAAGTGGAAGCGAGGTTTAGACTTTTGGAGAAGCTCAGGAAATAGGAATAAAGTGGTTTTAGAGCTGCTTTGAAGCAGTGAAAGGGGAGTTTCGGAGCAGCTCTAGAGCACCAAAAAGAGCATGGAAGTTTTATTCTGGAGCAGATTTTTAGGGTCACACACCAAAATGTTTGCTTTTAGTAAACACAAAAAATTTCAGTGGCCTTCACTAATCATGCAATGCTGATAAAGCGATCAAACTTACCTCAAATTGATATATATATATATATAAAACCTTACAACATCAAAGCTTAAAACACAGCAACTCGATGAAAAAATTAACAGGCACTTCATATACATACTAGACCTTAGACAAATAAAAAACTTGAATGTTAAAATGCTGAAATGTTCAAAATGTGATTAAAACATCGCATGTAAACTGAACATCAACTCAAGATTAGAGATAAGCAAATAACAGTTATCTTCCTACTAAACCCAATAAGGTTCCATAAAAATAAATGTAAAAAACTTAAGATCGGTCCCTAAGCGCCACAGTCAGCATGAGAACCACAAGGAAATATAGATGCACTCGCCGCGCCATTGCTAGACAATGAAGGTTTTTTTTTAGACAATGAAGTTTTTTTATTATGATAAAGATTATATGGACACACTATGGTTTTTCGCCATCGCCACCATGTTCCACATAAAACTACAAGTTTCTAACATATGTTCTAACCGCGCATGAAATCGCATAAGCTGGAGCGACGAGCGCTGCTCAAACAGAAATTAAACGAGGCGGCCAATCTCTGTCGCTCGGAGGGCGCACGCTATAGCATCCCACCGCATGGTAGACCTGCCGTCGAATGTTCAAGCAGAGTGTCAACATGCTGCCCTTCTTGAATGGGCATGAAAAGACGCAGTGAAAAGGGGGCGAGAGTGGTTGCTCAAGAGACAGTCATCAGCAGCTGTGAACTTCGATTGTAAGAGCATGGCTGCGATAGCTGACACGGGCGTTATCTCGGCAAGCATCAATGCACAGCTCCTAAACAAATCAGTTTTAGGAGGTGCACTCTCAACACGAACAGATTGTGTGATAAGAGCATTTTTCCCTGGAGCAACCGTACTTGTCCCTTACGCCAGCATTTCGTAGAGTTTTGCGATGTCGGATCAAAAAGAGTTAGCTGTCGGCCTCTGTTTTCCCACGGGGTCGTGACGCTGACGAATGCAGGGGTTGCTGCTTTCATGAGTAAACTTCTTATTTAGTCGAACTTGTCCCGGAGAACGAAACAATGCTCTAAAAGAAATGCGTGCGTCGTCCGTCGATAATCTGCCATGAAGTGAAGTGCATCGGCATTTATGTATGTGCCATCGAAGATTAAAGCGTTATCGATAGCGGTGCCGTAAGTTTCAGAACAAACTCAAATGAACCATTGTGCAAGAAATCTCATTGGAAGGCTCCTAGTCATTCGGGCGCAGTTTTCGCAAGGCAGCTTTACTTGTGTGATGGAGCCGTAACAAAAATATAAAAAGAAAAGGGCAAGGGTGCATGCACGATTACTAGAGGCCGGATTTATAGGCACTAAAGAACGGGGTTTTAGGCACCCTAAACAGGCACTGTTTTAGGCCCTCGAGACTTTAAATATAAACACAATCGACTTGGACAAAATTCAAGTTTTCGAAGAAATACGTATAGCTGTCTCTACGACAGGAAAGTAAACAGAAATGTTTTAGTTTATGATGGTGTAAAGGTGCCGATGGCTAAGCATCGCTAGAGTGTACTAGAACTGTGGCACAGCCATGCACTTGTTTTTCCTTGCAGGGTTTGCAGAACACGATTTTGATAGATTAACATGTGAGGTATAATGTCCCAAATCCACCATATGATTATGAGACGCCGTAGCGGAGGGCTCCAGAAATTTTGACCACTTAGGGTTCTTTAACGTGCACCCAAATCTGAGAACACGAGCCTACAGCATTTTTGCCTCCGTCGAAAATGCAGCTGCCGCAGGCGGGATTTGATCCCGCGACCTGCAGGTCCGCAGCCCAGTGCCTTAGCCACTCTCTACACTACTGCGGCGGGGCTTGCAGGACACTGTCTCTTTTTTTCTTGTTCAGCATGTTGAGTTATTGTTCACCGTTGAATGAACACGCTCCAGGGTCTTTTTTTTGGGGGGCATGGCTGAGAAGGCCAACCCAGGAGCAAACAGCTAGAGAGTCATATTTTAACTTGGTCTAACATTAGCACAGCGTCAATTTGTAAATTTATGCTGTGCCATTTTCGGGGCGTCGACCTATGTTCGAGTAGACTTACAATCGTGTAAATACGGTAGTTTTATTACTAGTGATGATTTGTAGTCGGACACTCTCGCGTCATCTGGATCATTTTGCAAATGTCCCATTCGTGGTGCACGTCATGCGATACAATTAGATTAATTTTTTGGTAAGTAAGGCACTGCTGTTGACAATATTGGGGTTTGGAACGATGTCAGACATTGAGCTTTCACTCTGACAAAAATGGTCCTTTGCCTTTAGTGTCTCTTCAAAGAAGCATTGGGCATTTCCTCTGTGCTTGAGCATTTCACAGATGGTCTAACAGGCGGGGGGGTTTTATTGCATGCGCCATGACCGAGATGGGCCGCCTCGTTTCATCTGTGCTTGAACCGCCTTCATCGCCGCAGCTTGCACAATTTTGCTGGCTGGTAAAATGCACGATAAGTCCAGGGATGTTATCAATTCAGGACATGATAACGGCGAAAACCTATAGAGACTGTAAGTGTAGTTATCACAATGAAAGGTGCACGTCTCAAACATGCAGGCCATGTCGTACATGTACAGCGAAAATTTTTTTTATGCCTGCTAGCCGATGTAGTACATGCTGAGTGAAAATCAAAGGCCTAATGAAATGTCCCAAAGTGCCCTAAGACTGTGTCGCGTAAATCATGCCGTACATGAAATGAATATTGTTACGTGTAAATAACAGTAGACAGTCAGCAGCCACAACACAGCTCAACAACAACATCAACCTTTCACTCTCAGTCTGAGGCGCCCATTTTGGGTATGTCCCACTATGCCCTGTTACAGTCAGCCTAAACCGCGTAACACAACCCCCGGCGGCAAAAGCGCCAACACGGCGAGCTTACTGGGCCACAGCAGGAGCAGTGTGGTAGCACTTGAGCCTTGATACGTGGACAATGTCCTGGGACAGCAGAGCAGAAGAGGTTGATGGATCATAAGGAACGATTTCATATGTAGTGTGTCGGTCAATCGTCTAAGCACATGTATGGGCTCATGAAACGCAAGACAAGCTTCTCTGAAAGGCTTGCATGTCGCGTAGGGGACCAAAGGAGAACGAAGAAACCTGTGGGAAAGTGTTTGTCGCGATGCCACTCGTCGTAGCGATGCTTCTACGAGTCTTGGGACGCGGTTAATCTGCGGTGAACAAGCTGGTCAGCTCGGGCGATAGCATCGCGTGCATATTCAGAACTAGACTGCTCAGCGGCCGACAGGAAGGTATTCAACGGCAATGTTGGTTCACATTCCAACAGAAGGTAAAATGACTAGTACCTAGCAGTGTCATGTCGGGAAGAATTGTACGCGAACATCATAACGATGGTCGGCCGAGGCGTATTTCGATAACATGTCCGTCAGGGTGCGGTTTAAATGTTCTGTAAGCCTGTTTGTCTGGGGTGGTACAATGTCGTGAGCTTATGTTGAGTAGAGCAGAAATGCAGGATATAGTCAACCACTTTCGAAAGAAACGCAAGGCCTCGGTCTGTCAGCAGTTGACGAGGGGCTCCGTGCACTAAAATGAGATCGCATAGTAGAAAATCAGCGACGTCTGTAGCGCAGCTTGCTGGCATGGCTCGCGTAACTGCATAGGGAGTCACGTAACTGCGTAGCGGGTCGCGTAATCTGTAGCAACCGTGACTCGCTTGTTTTCCTAGGCGGATGTTGGGAAGGGACCGAGAAGGTCCAAACCAACACGGAAGATAGGTTCCAATGGGATGTCGATGGGCTGAAGATACCCGACAAGGAGTCCTGATGGCTTGTTGTGACACCGGCAAATTTCACAAGTGATGACATAACAACGTACAGAGCGTGAAAGGGCAGGCCAGTAGAAGTGGCGGCGCACACGGTCATATGTGCGAGACACCAAGGTGACCTGCAGTTGGCGCGTCATGGAGCTCGCGGAGGACTGTGGAGCGCAGGTGCTTAGGTAGGATCGGAAGTAGGTCGTGACCGGTGGGTGATAAATTACGCCGATATAAGGTGTGGTACTTTAAAGTAAACATGCGAACAGATCGTACGGTGAAGATTCGAGCTGTTGTATTAGGTAGCTGCTATCCGGATCGCAACATTATGCGCAAGGAGAACTGCAACATTATGCACAAAGAGTACATCGGTGAGAAGCGTAGCGTAATAGTCACCGTCGGGCACAGCTGGTGAGCACAGGAAGTCGATGTACGTTACAGTTTTGGAGGGCAGGTGAACAAACTCACTGCATTGGAATCGGCATGTAGGTTGATACGAGGCGTCGCCGATTTGTGGCAGTTCAAGGCGGAGCACGCCAGCAGAGCAATCAATCAGAGCAGAATTGGCGGAAAGAAAATCGAGGCCTGGTATGAAGTCGTGGGGACATGTTGCAAGGACGGTAAAAAGAACGACCACTTGATGACCGCTATGATAAGTTGAGCTGTGCACATACCGACGACAGGGACTGTTGCGCCATCCGCAACTTGGACAACATTGATAAAGGGGGGCTTGAGCACCTTCATAAAAATGCAAACT